AGCCTCAGCTCCGTCGCCTCAAACTCCATCGTCGCCATCTCCTCCAAAGTCTTTTCGAGATCCTTCTTTGTAATACTATCTGTTATAAACCTTTTTTAATTTCTTGACGTTTTAGTAAAGAGAGTGGCAAAAGAGAGAGAGCTTGTGAGCCCTTGCGGTGTGGGAGTATATAGAAGTGCTCGGAGGGCACCACCCCACCAATGGGGGCGCAACACGTGTCTACTCACATGGTTGGTTGGATCTCCCGCGAGTATAACGGGGGGTTGAGCTGATGCATGATGACGTCATGCTCTGCGTAGAGTTTGGGAGAAAAAGTCGGCGGTTTATTTTTTTTTGTGCGTGTGTTAAAAAGTTTGTTTGTGGACATATTTTCCTCTCGCTGTACACGCCGGAAGCGTGACCGTCGATTGGGCATCATTGAGTTTCCTTTGTTTTTGCGCATTGCCCCGTTATATTGTGCTTATTTGCACATTTGCACAGATGAATTTTTAAAATTGCTTGAGATTTGTTGGCTTCTGCAATTTCTTCGAACTTTACCCCACTTCAAAAATCTCTAACCCCAGTAATGTATATATTTGGTTTGTTCAGCCTTATTTGTTAATTAATTAAATTAAAATGAATTTGCAGCTTTTGTTGCATGCGTTATTGTATTATTGTTTGAAGGGCTGCAAGTGCAATATTGGCTTGTAATGAAATGTAATTCATAGTTCTCAGATCAAATTTTTATTTACAGTTTAGCAGAAAATATGCAAAGATAAACCAAGAAGATCTATAGTAATAATTGCGCTCGTAATCGCCAAGCAATATTCTGTGGTTGCAAGAGATAGGTTTTTTTAAGTGGCATTGTAACCTAAAATACTGCACCACCACCTAACATTTCGTTAAAAAAATATTCAGATTAAATACAAAACATGTGACTGAATGCACATGAGCTCGAATCATGGGCAGTATTTTTCAGAGATATGACCATGGATTTGTTACATTTGTAATACGATAAAAACTATAATTTGTAAACTCTCTTGGTGACTACGCCACAAAAGTTAGCGTATGTATATATGTATATACTAAACTATCAACTGTAATTTTATTTAATATATAAAATAAGTTATCAAGATACAGTAACGATGAAGTTCACTGATGAGATGATCCAACGGGAGTAACAAATATGTGTTCCATGACTAATGTATTTTTGACAACTTATTTAGTAAGATAAACTCTCAGGACATTCATATCTTAAAACTAATGAATTATGCATTCAAAGACTTCTAAAATATAAGATAAAAACGAGTATTTGGTACAAAGAGCTAATGGAATCCAAATTAAGGAATTGGGTGGGACCCGCATGTAGAGGGGGGTGGGGACAGGTCAGCGGCCGGATCATGTGGTGGGGGGACCAAAGGTCCATGTGCCTCTGCTGGCATGTCGTCAAACCCAGGCCCCCATGTGCACCGGGCTTGGGCCTCTTTTCCCTCTTTTAGGTCCCTGGCGCCCTTTATTACCCACTTCCATGTGCTCCCCTAGTCTCATTTTAATTAAACTAGTCCCCATCCCCTAATCAAGCTTTTAGCTCGTTTTTCCTTGATTTTCAATATGTTAATTGTTCGAGGTTTTTTTTATAAACTCAAAATTTTTACTCCCATTTACCCAAATAAAAAACCCATCTAAATCTACATGTTCCCATAAATCCCCATATTCAAAGTTTGTTTTTTATTGAAACACAAAATATTGATACAGAGTTATAACTGCATACAATAGGATATAGTTACGTATTATAGAATGCATAACTACTTGTTATAGGACGCACAGCCTTATACCTATCGTATGTAGCTATATAACGTTTATTCTATGTTAATTTTGGATTTAGAGGTAAACAAACTTTGTACTTTGTGTTAACTAATTTGGATTTTGGGTTTATTAATTTGTACATATAGAACTAGCTGGGTTTTTTTGGTAAATGGAGTCACACTTAAGATTTATAAGAAGAAATCCTAATATTATTGCCCAGCTTTATTTCCGAAGCTAGTAGTTTCACGCAACATAATCTTTTTAGGTATTGAAAAAAAGGGTAAAGACTCTTTATTAAGGGGATGGCATTGTTTGACTTATAGAGAGAGGGCATATTAATCCCATGACTCTGCTTATTATGATTCATGTGGGTTCACGCACCGCCCCTTTCTCCTTTGTTTAAAGGAAGAAAACGTCAAGGAATCATGAGCTCTTTAGTTTTTCAGAAAGTTGAACTTATGGCTTACCACTGTAATTCTCTCTCAAATAATAATAATAATCTAGCTAGTCATGACTCCCGTAAAAGTTAGATAATCCTATATTAAATATTGACAATAGTTTGATGTACGAAAAAGTTGAAAAGAAATCTTCTGAGCACTAAATAGAACCATATAAGCTTTTGTCACTACGGTACAAGTATATATATTTCGTAAAATTTTAGATGGAGATGGCTTAAGAATCGATGCAATTTCAATGATTTGAAGGAACAACTCAAAATATGAATTAAAAATAAAAAAATAAAAAATCGCTTAAATTTGGTAGATATCACAAGGTTCTTAGGCCATTCATTTCAAAGATTCCAGATCTATCATTTTTTTTCACGAGATTGATTACCAAAGTTTTTATCTCTTCAAATTATCCAGAGCCTTCATTTATTCAGAATATTCCAAAAACTTGACTGTACCCTTGTTGGTGAATAATTAGTACAGCTCATTGAGACAAAAGGTACAAGAATTTGCGATGCTAAAGCCACAAGTGCGGGTCGTTAATACTCCGGACGAAGCACTGAAGTGGACGTTACAAAGCTCACACGTGCGAGAGCCCTCCAAGCGCACAGCAAGTGCATGTGCACGAGTGCCTCCGATTAAATGCAGAAACAAAGACAAAATTTTAGGTGGAGGTCTCTTTTATGCTCATACTTCTTTGATGTTTTTGGCTATTCTGAGCTTTCCATTTGCTACTGCTTGGGCTTAAGAAAGCAAGGGGATACGATTAGTATCAAATTATATCCGTGTTTTTTCGGGTATAAGGCATTAATTAATTTCCTCTTTTTTTCATGAGAAATAAATTAAGAGATTTGTATCACTAGATTGGTATTGGCATGGGAGTTAATAGATTTTGTGATTTTTGTCATTATTTAAGCCTTTTCATGTCAAAAGTCTCCAGCTACGCATGGAATGTGTGTCTTTATAAACGTATTGACAAAATTGCAAGACAAATGTAAACTTAACATCAAACTTTGCTAAATTGGTGTTAAATTTTTGATAGGGAAAATTATGAGCAGAAGAGGAGTACACCATAAATCTAAGAGGCCAATGACTTTGGGTATAAGAGATCATTGAGATAGAATTAGTAAGTTAGTAACAACTTATTTCCATAATTTTCTTGGCAACCGTTTGACCATGTTCGATACTCTAAACTCCCAACCCCACAAACTTCTGAAATCGCAATAAACTCCAAACAAATACTAGGATTGCAAAAAATTTCCAAAAACTTTTCACGTTTTACAAATAACCTTCATGACGATGTCGGTCCATTTTTAAGATCTAAATGCATCACCAACACAAAAAGTGGACTGGCGGCGCTGTCATGAGGCTTATCTGTAAAATGCAAAAACTTAGTGTAAATTTTCTGCAATTCGATACTTAATGAGGGTTTAGTGCAATGGTCGAAGCTATTGAGGATTTATTACAAAACATGAAATTTTTTGAGGGTTTAGTGTAATTTACCCTTTAAACTATTGTCTCGATGCCTTTTTCACCAAACTTTTCAGTTCATATTCAACTATCTTAATCTGAATGCGTAAATGCTACGCGACAAGACTAAAGAATAGGCAGTCTACGCATCGTACGATGACTTTGCACATTAGATAGAAGAGGGTTTTTTCTTTAGACCCAGTTTTACTCTGATTTATGTTTATATCTAAGTATTTTTATATCTTGAAACTCAATTAAATTTCTTTTTTATCTTTAAACTCAGATACTATAATTTATATTTAAAGCATATCGTATTTAATACTTTTAGAAGGTAAAAACTCCAAAATATCCCCACATCTTCTCAGAAGTACTCTCTCTCTCTCTCTCATATGGAATTAAAGTCAAAGTTATGACTCTCTCTCTCATATGGAATTAAAATCAAAATTATGAAACTAAAATTAAAATTTTTGATCTATAGTATTATTAATTATTGTTATTTGTAATAAACAATGGTGAAGAATCATAATAATCATGTGAAAAATAGTGATAAAGAAAATGACAAATTAGTGCTATAATTGTCTCAAATGCTTATGTGAATTTATGCTACAAAATTAGGAGTTGAGGAATTAGGAGAATATATATACCTTAAAGTACAAAAAAAAGAGAGATGAATCATCACAAAAATTTACTATTTAAACATTAGAAATTAAGAGGGTTGAGGAGTATTTAATGGGTCTATGAAAGTTGAAGAAGTAAATACGAGAGCAAAGGAGGTGGGAGAGAATTAAACGAGAACGAGAAGGGTGAGGGGTTATTTGAAAATTTTTAGGAGGGGCGCCACATAACTATGAAGTGTATTTTAGAATTTGTGTTTCAGGATAGATACACAAAGTCGATTGGGTCTAAGATACAAACAAATTAATAATTGGGTTTAAACATAAATCTTGTCAAACATTTGGGTCTAAAGACAAAAACCCCTAGATAGAATTCAAACGTTACTATACTCTCTCTTGAGTTCACTTAGGTCCGAGAATGTAGCCCTATACGAGATTTTATTCTCATGGTCTTTCAAATTAGTTGTTTCATTTTCCAAAAAAAGACACTACTTTCACCCTCAACCATGCAAATTCTCTCATCAACCCATGTACGTCTGCTAGCACCATAACTAATTAACCTATGATCGGCTTTCTGACATCAATAATAGCCCAATTATATGTCAACAATGGAGATGCATGCTACAACAAAAAAGATAAAACATTAGCCCTTTTTATACGTTTCCCCTTGCAATCGTTGGAAACAAATCAGATGTACGGATATATAGCAGCGAGAAAAGAATA